TGTCCACGTCGCCTCGTCCTTAGTGACATTTCCTCCCAGTCATTCCAGTATGCCGGGGCTTTTCCACTGAGTGCCTTGCTTTACTTCCGATGCCCTTGCTTTCCGTGCCCAGCAAGAACCATTTTTATCTGAGCGTCTTCAGCACATCACGCTGCAAAGGCTGTGGCTGAAAAGCAGTGGAGGGTATCCCCCGATCTGCTCCTTGTAAAGCATCCCAAAATAACCCTGGATCTCATTCAGAGAGCTGCACCGTCACGATGGGAGATGAAACCAACCGTGCAGCGTGGGCTTAGGGGCGGCTTTGCAAAATACCCCACAAATATTCACTGCCTTATCTTCTCCCTTCTCCCCGTATGAAGGAAGGGCTAAGCCAGGGTCAGTCTCCGTTGCAAGCAAGGTGAAGGCCCCACTCCAAATCAGCTCAACCATTCCTTCTGCAGTTGTGGTTCAAGGTGGTCATCTTCACTTCCTGTCCTAAATGATCACGTGAGACCGTTGTGCTTAAACGACGTGCTGCAATGACAGTGTCCAGCTCCCCTTCATAGGTAACCGCATTTCAGTGCCTGCTGACGGAGTTGCTCTTCGTGCCCATGCGTGTGTTTGGTAAGGATGCCTTGCCAACCTACACGCAAGTTGCCCAGGCAGGAGTCCTATCTCTGTTACAACAGTGCCTTTTAGCTTGTGCCAGACCATAACTACACTTGTGACTATGCTTTTGGTTATTATACTGAGGCATCTTGGCCAAAGAACCGCTTTCCTGAGTGTTCCCATCTCCGATTTCAATCCCTCAATGCCCACAGGTAGCATGCAATGCATTTATATGTCAGCCTCGCTAATGAAGACCTGGTTGAATGTCCCAGAAGAAATTTTAAAGCAGCAGTTAAAAATAAAATACAACCCCTGCCCCTCCCCTGCCCCAAAGAACAAACTCCCTCTGGAAACCATTAACTTCCTTCCTGCATATTTACACTAGTAAAATATTGCTACCACCTGATGCTTTTTTCTTTTGGCTCCAGGTCCTATTCTTC